CCGTCGGCGACCCTTTGTCTGCGGTCAGCCGAGCACAGCCGTGCACTCTCAAGTGCTCGCGCGGCGCTGTTACGACACGGTGAAGAGTTGAGGCAGGTTCTGGGGCGATTTGTCGATGGCCGCGTCAGTCGGTCGCGACTCAAGGGTTGGTAACTTGACAGGCCATGACTGGGGCCGGTTTAGGTGTGTCGTAAATTGAGGCGGCCAGGTTGCATGAGAGAATCAGCGCCGGTAGTTTATAGAAGGAGCGAAAAGCAGACATCGTAACTGATTGAAATACAAAGAACGGGATTCAATTGTGAAGTACTTCATACTTGGTGGTGCAAACAGATAAGATTTAAGATCGTAATAGTCAGGAAATGTAATGTGGAAAACAATGATTGTGGCACTTCATTATTTAGCTTCGGTTAATGCTATGTTTATGGTCTCTTTCGTACATCGCCAGTCATTAGACAAGTGCAAGACATTAATTTGATTGTAATCAGTGGTGGCATAGTACGATTCAAGCTGGAAACAGCTCGCGAAACAGAACTAAGTACAAAAGGTAAGTTTTTCGCCACTGTGTGATAAGATTGTCGAGTTGCACCAGACGCTCAGTAAAACACATTGTTTTGTTTAGAAACACGATTGAGGAAAAAGAAGATGATGGAGTCTGTTGGCTGATGTTGCCAGAGCAGTTGAGGCGGAGTCACGCTCCGAAAAGGGGACACGGCTGAGGTTCGTGACCTTTAGGATGTAGTTTTAGACATGGCAAAAGAGTCGACGTCGATGAAAGCATTTGTAGCGAGCATCTGTGTGGCGCTATGATGCTGGTGGGTGCGTTTCAAGCATATGCCTCCCCCCCGCAGAAAGGGCATATGCCAGCATGCGAAATCGAGGAAGACATATTTTTGGTCTCGAATAAAAGAATACAATTTTTTCCATTCCTCACCAATATTGCTCACCAATACGCATGAGAAGCTAAATCTGCATAGCTTGCAGAATTAGGTAATAATAATTAGGAAAAAGGAAAGAAAAAAGTCAATACATGTATATTGTAAGTATGTATTGACAATCAAAACACTCTCCGATACAATACTAGGGGAAGTTGGGGGAACGCCGAATACTTTTTTTCTGACGCCCGTAGCACGCAAGGTAGACAACATAAGCTATTCTTGTTGGCGTCATTCGAGAGGCCGGTCTTTTGCCTTTCAAACATACCAGGCGCATTTGATGAATTCGCATACCGTTAAGCGCACAAACTAAAAATATCAAAGAAGTGACTTTTTCGGCGTTGCCTCGGACTGCGGGGAAAGCCGAAAATGGGAGAAATTATCTACGGGAATGCCGAAGTTGATGTTTTGCTATTTTATCTCAAATTTTATCCAGAATTCGTCAAAGCTGACACGCGTTTTAAGAGCTTGAGGACGCTTGGTGCACACTGGAAGTTATAATTGTGTGATATAATAAGAAAATGCCAGAAAATTCCTTATAGGTAACAGGCCATTGTGTCGGTTGAAAGTGTAATTTGTGTGACTAAAAATTCGCGTTGCTATTCTACAGCAGTAAAGTCCACGTAGCGTGCTTTAACGTGCATAATTGCACGTTTTCGGCATTACCCCAGCCAGCCATGCTTTCATTTGCAGGCCCATAACTTTTCAATGTGCCGTATAAATTTAAAATAGGCAGCACACTTATGCAAAGACATGCTGAAGATTACTTGACCGAATTGGCCAGACAAACGGTAGCATAATGAGTAAGAAATGCAGCTTCAAAGGCGCATGTAGTACAAGGAACGCGTACCTTGAAAACGCTCTTGGCGCCCTCACAGCCGAAGTATTCCGAATGACGACTCGTAACAAACATGCGATAATTGTAGTCACTTAAGCTTCAGAGCATCACTGACAGGTGGCATCCATGTCTTACGGTTTTCGAAATATCTCGAATTTCGGCTTTGCCCCAACTCCGGCATTGCCCCAACTTCCCCTACCTATTCTCAGCGTCGCGTCACTTGGGAGAGAGGGAGAGAACATGTTAAAATCGACGCACGAAACAATCATGTCTCAATCACACAAATATCAGCTAAAATCACATAAAAGTGTCCACCGTATAGATAAATCATAAGACCAATGAATTTAAAGTTAATTAATTTAAAAGGTAATTAAAAAAGTAAATACCTGTAGCAATCAATGACACCGTATCCAAGTGTGAGCTACCATGAGCGAGGGTGAACCTTAATATAGGGGAGAGCGGGGCCAGTTGAACCACTTTTTATATATTGACATGCACAGCGAGATCTAGTAGTCATATCGAAAAATGCACAATGCCATGAAAAAATATGCTCTTTTGGCTTTATTTTAAGATATGTAAAATTATGTTTCAAACATATTTTGCTGCCAAACGCATGCTTATAAAACAGCTCTACGCCCGTTTCAAATGACCCCGATGCGAGGGTCAATTGAACCAGCCCATGGGGTCAATTGCACCTATCCTTAACAATGGGATGTTTTCCTCTTTAAGGCCACTTTCTTAAGGAGATATTTTGTCCGGTTTACTTTTCCAAATGCTACATTCAATAGGTCATTGGAAAGCTAAAAGTGCAAAGTTCCTCATAATAGGTGACATAAAGTACATAGACTATGGTAAAATGGGCGGATGACAAAAATGAGAAATATCTCAGGCTATAGTGTGCTTTCAAGCAAAAGGCTGGAGAAAAAGGGGTCAAAAATTGAGCTCTATTAAACTACTATTTCAGTTTAAAAGCTCATTTCAAAGGTGGACTATTTCCTTTAATGTTTACAGCCCCTGAACAATAACCATTGCAAAGGCCACCGGGGTCCATTGAAACGGCCTGTGGCCCTGTTTCAACTGACCCTCAGAGAAGCGTTTCAATTGACCCCATCCGCTCCCGCCATCTCGCACGCGCCGTAAAGCACATGTCAAACGAGCTGGAGGGACGGCATCATGCTGAATGAAGGGCCAAATAAGGTGTTATTCCGGAGCCAGGAGTTCTTCTTTCAGCAAACAAAGGTATATGAGATATCACAAAATATTCATAAAAACGATTTCTCCCAAACGCCCCTCAAAAACACAAAAACAAGTGTCAAATCAAAATTGCCGTCCGCTTGCCGCCCAAACGCCGTTGACAAAGGAAGTGGTCGAGCGCGGATGCGCAGTGGTGTCGGCAACGCCATATGTTGCATACTGTTGAAACTAAAGCCATGTTTCATCTGACCCCGTGTTTCAACTGGCCCCGCTCTCCCCTAATTGAGTGCATATTTTGCGCACGGTAGGGTCTGATAGTGTCCCTAGTAGCATATGTCATTCATCTCGTGGGGCTGAATACGGAGCAGCCTTTCAGACAAGGTACAATTTCAACATACAACGTACACTTTCATAAACAAAGAAACTGGCTTGTCCAATAATGCGGTATAGGGATATATTTTTCAGGTAGTATGATTTGCAACGAGACATTTGCAGGATTATTTTCACAATCAGTTGCAAGTTTGTCATAACGGATTTTTCACTAATTGCACCAAAAGCATGAGTGAACGGTGGTCATCGTTTCCTGTCAAAAAAGATATGTGTGAGCGATAACGTCTTAGATTTACACAACGAACATCACAACATGGCTTACGAAACAAGTTTTGCGAGCAAATCACCCTGAAGTTGCATTGCATATCTGCGAAATTATAACAAGTGCAGGTAACAATGACGACCAACACTCTTCTTTTATATGATCGTAACCCCAATTTCTCCGTACCGCCCCTCGCTGCCGATCAATTCACGACTGTTATCCGCCGTGCCAACGGCAGCTCAGCCGCACGGGACCGGTCAGCTGCATCCCGCCCGGTGGCGTAACCCCATAACCCGTCCCTACCTACCCCTGTCACGTGCCCCCTCCCACCCCCTCCCCCGACCGACGGGGCTGTGTCGAACCATCGGCTCCAAACGGCGACCCCTCCCCTCAGTCAGACACGGATGACGCCACGTCTGCTGTGTTCGTCTGCGCTGTCTGTCTGTCGGCGAAGGCCGGCCGTCGTGTCACTTCATTGACGGTTAGCTCATATGTAGAACGAAACGGGGAGAGGAGGAACGTATAGTAGCATGTAGTAGCCAGCCCCCTCCTCTCCCTCCCTCTCCCTCTCTCCCTTCCTCCGACTCTGCCGATGACCGCCACGCTGGCGGTCCCGCCCTTGGAAACTTGGAAAACCCGTCCGTTTCGGGGTCACTGGGAGTTATGATAGCTCGCCGGGCAGGATTGCCAAAAACGCCGAGGGCAGCGGTTGCATATGACCGGGCTACGTGAACTGGTGATGGGAGACGGGGTCGTAGTATGACAGACAAAATGTGGCAGTGTGACAGAGGGCGACAAATGTGACAGTGTGACGGAGTGTGACAGAGTGTGACAGTGCAGTGTGTGACTAACGGTCGTCCCTCGGGCGCCGGGCGGGGTGCGGGACATGATCTTCGACCACAAATGTGACTAAGTCCGAAGTCGTGACATGCCGAGGAACGGAAAAGCGGAAACGGGGCATTATATTTTGTTGCATATTGTCATATGTGAACCAACCATAACGTCACGCAAATAAGCGGAAAGGAATGTTACGTATGAACTTCTCAAGTCAATTAAAGTGGAAGGGTCCAATAGATTTCTAGTGGATGTTGAAAGTTAAAGCATAGGAGCCGATGGAACAAAATAAAACCAGTTTACGCATCTGTATTGCCGTTGAAATTTACAATATCCACTTTCAAGCCGGACAAAAATTTTCATGCATTCATTAAACGAGCATACCTATTGTTCACTTGTCACACCTTGTCATAATCACGTCTGTGACACACTAATGGCGTAAAAACCAGCATCAAGGTCGTACAGCACGCGCGCAGTGGGCCACCGAGCGACAGCTCGTACACGAATCAGCACTTTGCTCTGCAAGAATCATCTCATGACCAATTTGTCTCTTATTGTATTTGCTGCAAGGCCGCTGCATTTCGCCAGTGGACCAGCACGCATTTTGCACGCTGAGTCTGGGGGAAAACCGAAGGGTCTAGTCCGACGGGGTCGTTCTCAAGGTGCACATACTCCGCGAGCGAAATGCCGGTCACGGCGGGTGTTGCGTGGCGGCCGTCTCCCGTCACCGGGACCGTATATAAGCGGCACCGGTGACCCGACAGAGGCACACTCCGACCTGCACACATCGACAGACAGTCACAGAGGCCAGAGCAGCTGGCCGACATGGCGGTCAGAAAGGTGAGACAAATCAACCAGCGATGTGGCTCATACATTAGAAAAGCATAGCAACTAGGATGTAACTGAGTAAGATAAGTATAACTAACGATGAACGAAAATTAGTACAAAGAACAATAGATGAAACTTTTATTTATATGATGATTCACGAATCCAAAGCAATAAAAATAAATTAAAATGAAGTCCGCAAAATAATTTATCTGGAACATAAAACCATTTGAGGTCATGCTTGACAACATCAAGTAAAATACAAAACTAAGAACACAGGAGCAGTAAATAGCTGACATCACGAATGTTTTGCAGGTTTACATCCTAGCCCTGTTGGCCGGGCTTTGCTTGGCTGACGGCGGCGGACATTTGGGAGGCGGAGGCGGCGGCGGTTACAGCGGAGGAGGTGGTTACAGCGGAGGAGGCGGCGGCGGCTACAGCGGAGGCGGCGGCGGCTACAGCGGAGGAGGCGGCGGCTACAGCGGAGGTGGAGGTGGTTACAGCGGCGGAGGCGGCGGTGGTTACAGCGGAGGAGGAGGTGGTTACAGCGGAGGCGGAGGTTACAGCGGAGGTGGCGGCGGCTACAGCGGAGGCGGTGGCGGCGGTTACAGCGGAGGTGGCGGAGGCGGCGGTTACAGCGGAGGCGGCGGCGGTGGTTACAGCGGAGGTGGCGGCGGCTACAGCGGAGGCGGCGGAGGCGGCGGTTACAGCGGAGGCGGCGGCGGTGGTTACAGCGGAGGCGGCGGCGGCGGCTACAGCGGGGGCGGAGGCGGTTACAGCGGAGGCGGCGGTGGTGGTTACAGCGGAGGAGGAGGTGGTTACAATGGAGGTGGAAGCGGTGGTTACAGCGGAGGAAGTATCGGTGGTTACAGTGGAGGCGGCGGCGGCGGCGGCTACAGTGACTACGGTCCTCCCAAGGGATATTCTTCTGGAGTGTCAATAAGTTACAGCAGCGGAAGCGGTGGTTACAGCGGAGGCGGCGGCGGTGGTTACAGCGGAGGCAGCGGCGGTGGTTACAGCGGCGGAGGCGGAGGTTACAGCGGAGGAGGTGGTGGTTACAGCGGAGGGAGCATTGGTGGTTACAGCGGAGGCGGCGGCGGTGGTTACAGCGGTGGCGGAGGCGGCGGTTACAGCGGCGGAGGCGGAGGCTACAGCGGAGGAGGCGGCGGCTACAGCGGAGGAGGCGGTGGTTACAGCGGAGGAAGCAGTGGTGGTTACAGCGGAGGAGGCGGTGGCTACGGCACCAGCTACAGCATCGTTCCCATCTCAACTGGCGGAGCGGGAAAATACCCGGCAGCTCTGCCCTCTTCCCACTACGGAGGCTAAATGGGAAATGCTTGTTATTATCTATGTGGCGGAGAACACCAAGCCTATACTGTTTTCCGGCCAGATATATCTGTATTTATTTGACAATGCTGTAATGTGAATTGTTTTATTTATGTAAATAAATGAAAATGATCTGATCAAGGCGATTTCTTTCACACTACTTACCTAGAAACACGTTCACTCATGGGCAGCGTTCTAACATCCGCTCGGCTCAAACGCTCAGCATTCCAAAAAAAAACGTGGAAAAAATAGCAGACGGACAGACGATGTCTGGAGAAGTTAAGCTCCCCACTGGGGGGGGGAGGGGGCTATTCATAGTCCCCTCCCGTTTTTCTGCAATAACTTCCAAACCACTTGACGTATCGGCGCCAAATTTGCAATACCTTCGGCTGCATTAATTTGACACCTTGTGTCAAAATATGAGCTTCGTAGCTACCATAGGTCGGCCGGAAATGACGTCAGATTGACGTCATATTCGGCCGATTTCGACGCAAAACATTGAACCACGGCAATCGCTCCCAAGAGCTCAGTTTTTAAGCTAGATCCAATTTCTTTGCATGAGAGGACTCAGAATAGACTGCGCTATCAAACTGCTATCCCAGATTTTCATATTGTTGAAAATGTCGAAAACTTTACATAATAAAGTTCAAAATTTATATTTCTATCTTTTTCAAAAAATTTGACTTTTCGAATAAAAACGGAATATTTGTGATAGACCACATGCTTATAACTTACTCTAGCAAGTTTTAGATAAATATCTTCAAAAATGTCCAAGTTATACGCATTCCCAGCCAGCAATTCACTTGGGCTGAACTGTGGCAAACGTCGGGCAGCTTGGGCTTAGCTTGGGTTTGCCCACTTTGATCAAAACCAATGTATTTTTTACTAGGGCTGAGCTTGGGCATGCCGCTGCTATGCCCACGTGCGGATAGCAGTAGCTCAGCCCGACATCTGCCCGCGCATCCAAAACAGGCTTAACTTGGGCGGAGCGCGGGCTGATCAAGCTGGCTGTGTCCTTCGGCTAACTGGAGTAAAGCCGGAGTTTAGCCATACTTGTTCGGCTGTTCGCGCATGCGCAGTTCTGCGCCAATCATGTGCAGCGTTTGTGACAGTCTGCGCGCTGTGCGACGAAACGACACACCGGTGTTGGGGCATTTGGTGGTTGATGTTTGGGCGCGTGTGACAGCGCGAAGAAGGGATAGTGCTCATTGCTCTTATCAAGTGGACTGGCATGGAGTTTTACGGTAGGTAATTGTATTGAATGGTGCGCTTGATCGTATGTAAACGTCATTATTTTGACTGAGTTTCACGCCATCAAACATGAAGCTGAATAGCTGTTCAGCCTGGCGACTTATACCCTCGCTCAGAAAAGCCGCATTCCGTGCCTTTATGTATATCTTTGTGAAATACCAGCACTTCTGAACCAGGAAAATGAAATACAAAACACAAATATTTATCTACTTATCAAATATCACCGAGCACGCTCATTCTCTGTCCGCGTTGAAAATCGAATGAACATTTTATACGGATCAATGAGAAGTGCTGTTACAGTATTAGTGCAACAATAAGTTATTTTTCAAGCAAACATGCAATGTACCTAAATTAAACCAATTGATCTCTTTTTCAGGTACAGGGACCCGCAGTTGCTTCTGTACACACTAGTATTTCAGCGTATTCTTTGCCTGTGACACCGTTGGAGGCGAATTGGGAAATGATTGTGTGCTTATTGAAACCACCATCTGAAGGGCTTTAAACTGATGTGCTGCTCTCCTAATTCAATGAACTTTTTATGGCTATATCAGCAAAACATTGTTTTCAGCGCTTTTTCCTGCCCCATTCCTTCTGAAACCTGGAACCGCTTATTCCATTTACTCCTGCCATCTGACGATGGTCGTGCTGACTACTAGTTCCGGCGCTAGTTACTGCTCCAGTTTTGCACCCGGCACAAACTCGGGCGGCGCCGGCCCGTGGCTCGACCAGGGAGGGTCGGACCGAGCCGACTGCCTGGGGCGCGGTTAGATCGGACGCCCTGCTGGGGAAGGGGACGGGAGTGAGGGGGAGGGGAGGAGGTCGTCACGTGGTCCGTCCAAGCTCGCAGACGACCTGTCCTGCGCCCAGCGATGTTCCGTGATCCAAAATGGCACGAGAGCTGTGGAATGCCTGGAGGAGACGCTTCGAAAGCGAACTTCAGCAGCACTAATTTACCATATTCTGTGGAGATAAATGAATATTAATATTATCTTAATGAATATTATCTTAATGCAGAAAAAATTGTATGCCTAAACTGTCTAAGCTGTATCTTTTTAAAAATTGGAAATAGGATTATTTTTAGGGACTTATAGGTTTCGTATATACAGTGAATTGTGTTACATTAAGCCGTTTCGCTGTTATGGTTACTAACTGAAGAGTTATCCTTTTTTCTCACATGGAATGACAATACAATAACAATACGAATAAAACCAGACGTTTCGCACAAAAAAGTGCCTCCGTCAGTGGCAAGAAATAAGTAATTAGGCATACATGTTTTCTTTCAATAAAATTGATGAAGTAGTTATCTTTATTTTTTAAAGATATATTTTCAGCAGTTTTTAAGCACATCATGGACGCTTATAAACATTTGTGTATTTTATCGGCAACCCGGCTGGCCAGACCGAGACGGTGCCGCATATAGTTCTCATCGATGTTAAACCTATACACTTATTTTTCTTCACTGACGAAGGCACGTTGTTGTCCGAAACGTTTGGTTTTATTCGCTTTGTTTTTATATTGTCATTGTCCGTGAGAAAAACATACTCATATGGACTGGTCTCAGTTCATGTAGAAATTGTTGCATATTCATCAACACAGATAAAATGAATATTAGCCGTCACCACACATATAAGAAGAGTTAAGTAGACCGCGCCCCCTGTTTTTCACCAATAAATCGCGGCACAGCGAAGGATTGCGACGATTCTTTGGTGCCCTGGAGTTAAACAATTTTACAACTTCCCGGAAAATTAAATAGCCCTTATCATTTTTGCATCTTGTCTGAGAATTTTAAATCCCTGAACCAAATTACCTTTAATCTGTGATTATTTTTCTCAAGATCATGTCAGGCCAGAATAGCAATTGAAAGTCAGCGCACATCTTCTGTGTGTTTCCATAGTCGTTTCGTGATTAGCAACGTGACAGCATGTGAAATATACTATCTAATGTTTGTCTCATTGATTGTTGTGGGTGCCAAGGTGACGTGAAACTCAGGTTGGTCATTCACTTGAAATGATCTCGGTTAACTTCCTTAAATTTACACCTTTTTACTGTGGTTTTTAGGAAGTGTTGGTTTGAAATTTAGCACCCATTTTAGCATTTGAAAACTAGGCATACTTAGGTATCAGTTATAGTGCTTATGCAATATGTTGCAAGGCTGTAAGTGCTGGTTAACATCCTATGGATAGCCGGCAGAACGCCTAATGGGTAATCTGGCGTGACCCGTCCTACCCCAAATGCTTTGATACATCATCTTTGATCAAAGCAAGTGCAAATTTGGAGTCAGAAGCAAGCCAAGTCCCAGCGAACTTCACTTGTAGAAATTCTAGCAGGACTCAATTTTCCGTGCTTTTGGGTTATTAACCTGATCTGGGAGGTCAACCAGTGACCTAGGATCTCAGCATTGACCAGGACATAAAAATAATTAGCTTTCTCTCGTCAGCGATGACCAGGACCCTCAAATCATCGGATTTCTCTCGTCACGAGCAGCTCGCTCTTTTTTATTTTTCAGCGAAGCTCTGGCTCTTTTTATCAAGGGCCGAATGGCTGAGGGTTTCTACGCCCCTCCGCTACATGTAAGACGCTGAAAAGAAATGACTAAATGGGTGAGGGTTAAATATCGATTCGTTTTTAAGTGCCGAAGCCCGAAACACTTTAATTTACTTCGATAGCAGTTTTTAAGACCAACGAGCTCGAATACTATAACTTCTTGAACAATGTAAGCACCACATAAAATGAATCGTGAGAGAAGCGGCTCAAGATTAAGGAGCTATGAGACACTTAATAAAAAACGGCATAGATTAGAAACTGCACCTAACTTGCACTGGTTTTTAAACCTTTTCGTTGCAGACAGGTATGTAGATTAAATTTTAGGATTGATTTCAGCTGATGCTCAAATGGAGCTATTCATCCGTTCATTCATGCGACCATCCAATTCCATTCATAAAAGAAGCCGGTGACAAAATTGCTCATTTTAGATAAGTGTGAAATACAAACTCACTAAAAGTTTAATGATACGGCAAATTTGACAGCTTTCATAATGAACAAATAACTTAAACAAATCAAAGTTGAGAGCCCCAAATAAGGGAGAGGTAAGATGAGCCAAGGGGCAAGTTTAGCCACCCCATGTTTCTCAGCTCCTATGGCGCTAATTGACTTGAGCATCCATGTGCCGTTCGCTTACGATGCTGCAGTCTTTCACGTGAGACGGCAACGTTCTCACGCCCAGCACCCGGTAACATGTGGTATCGCCCCTGATAACTAAGACATGTTTTGCCTTTAAAATGAGATGGTTGTTATCTGCGGTGCATGGTTATTTTCCTTAGCGGGTGTCATTAATCGAAAATGGCCACGGGTGGGGCAGGATGAGCCATTTTCACCTGGGGAAGATGAGCCGGATAAGCCATTGTTGTCTCCGCTGTCGAAAACCAAACTGAGCTGCGCTTGTTTCTGCTGAATAAAAATGGTAGGAAACAATTTTTCTTTGTTGATTACACAAGTTGTATGTGATTTGCAGATTATCTGAAGGATAAAATGATTTCTTCCGTGATAGAAAACTTGACGAGTTATTGGAAGGCTTAAAACAGTCAGTTTTTGATGGAGGAAAAAAACTTTGCCATAAGTATGTATGCCATGGAGTAAATAAAAGAGCGAGCCCACTCTTCGCCGCGCCCGGGAAAAGAAGAGGTTCGCTTTTTCTATCCATGCTCAACTATCCCCACGACGTGTCTCAACTTACCCCGCCCATGGGGTAAGATGAGCAACGTGCAAGATGACTTTTGACGTAGCCTTTTCAGTACAAAAATAAGCGGTATGAAACATTTCTGGCCACCATTACATGCGCAACTGACCACTCTGTCCGTCCAACCCGTAAACGCAGAAAAAATGATCA